GAGAGAGAGAGAGGAAGAGAGATGTTCAGAAAAAAGAAAAATGGGATCAAATGGAATACAAGAAGAAATGGGTCAGGACATGAGAGGAGAAAATTAATTTCAAAAGAGTTAAGAAGCGGAGAGTTATGCAGGATGAGCATTTGAAGGCTTTGTTTGAACTTGACGTGCAGCTTGAGCCTCAAGCAAAGAAAGGGTCTCACTTTTAAAATTCTGAATTTTGAGGGGATTTTACATGACAATTTCTCTTTTTCATCTGTAGTAAATTTTTTTTTTTTTTTGTACATTAAACTAAAAGAGAAAAAGAGGGGAAAATGATGCCCACTTTTGTCCAAGTTAACATCGACGCACCTATTTACAGGTGACATACATTGGAAAGAATTCCATAGCTGGTACATTTATCGGTCAGATGAGAAAGTATTTCGCACCCAGTACACATACACATATCAAATAGGGTACTCACACCCAAAATCATCCACCTGTATGGAATAGGGCACTCCAACCCAAGGACAACCATCCATGGTTATCCATAGATTGGTGATAGACACTGCCAGCTGCCAAATCCTTATGCGGGACCAGTTACTCAACTCCACCCCCTATAGAAGCATGGGTCTCAACTCTACCCTCTATGAAGGTACGGATCATGGATATTGGATAAGTGTAATCCATGATTACCTCAATACCATACTCGCCCAAAGTATACAAAGTAATCTGGTCTCTTCATACAAATGTAAGGTAGTGACTAGCTCACAATGTATATATTGCTATCAGCATGTTTGCAACAAATCTAACAAAAGCCACATTCATCAAGAGATGAAAGCTTCCCTGCTGAATGAATTAACTCTTGAGGCATTAAGTATAAAAATGTTGGTAAAAAATAGGTATAAGGATCATTTTCTCTCTGTCACATAGATCAAGAGATGACAACTTCTACTGAATGAATTGACTCGAGGCATGATGTATATAGAAGTGTTGGAGAAAAAATGGGCACGAGGATCTCTCTCTCTCTCTCTCTCTCTCTCTCTCACATAAATGCTAGGAGTGTGCTCAGGCAAGAGTCAGAATAACTTACCAAGAAGAAACTAAGTCTCTCTCTCTCTCATAAATGCTAGGAGTGTGCTCAGGCAAGAGTCAGAATAACTTACCAAGAAGAAACTAAGATAAGCAAAGGCACTGAGACGGAATATGAATGCCTTCGGATGTTTTTCAAACATCAGTGCCTACTACTAGAAATGAGGGACCCGTGCATAATTTTGTATAATTCACCCCAACTTTTGCAACTTACCTTGACTTCAGTGGTCCTTCCACAAATTCACCACAAAAACACGAGCATTACTGTTTTTACTAATCAAAACATCTCATCAATTGAAAACCCAAACACATTCAATATCGGAAATTTGAGAATGGTGAGACATTGGGGTATATAACTGCCTTATGGCTCTTAAACAGTTCTTTTAAAACCCGGATTCAGGTTCTGAATCGCCCATCCACTGTACCGATCAAGATAGGCTGAACAGTGGCAAATTTGGTTAAAAAAGTAATAAAGTGATAAAATAGCGGGAATTCGAGGGGAAGGGATCAGGATGCCCCACCCACCAAATCTTATCAGGATCGACAATTCCTGATCCGGATCACCAGGTTCTAAAACACTAATCAAAATAAGATATCATCTATCTAATTCTTTAACAATGCCGGCAGGTCAATGCTAGTGTCCGTTGGTGCTACTGAAAGCGATTGTGCCCACTGCTTACTAGGGTGAAAATGCCTAATTTCGCATTAGAATAAGCATAAAGAATATCTGAACTGATTCCTCAATATTATGTTTTGCATCTTGAAAATCTATCAGGATTTTATACCAGCATTGTCCATTATAAATGGTACCATAGGTGCAATAAGTTCATCAAAAAACAAGATAAAAGCACAATGATTTTGCCAATGACAATGTACCTGTAAAGTACATCAAAGGAGTAAGCGTTCACTAAACCCATTGTTGAAACAGTGCCTGCATAAAGCTCAGGATGTGGCAAATGCCTCGATTCTTGGCAGCTTCTTACAATAGTTTCCAAATTTTACTGCCTAGAAATGGTACTAGAATTCATCCAGACATTTAATAACAACAATTGGCAATTGAACAGACTCCATATGCATGACAGATTTGAAGCTTTATATGACAAATAAGATATAAGATGATTGAACCATACTATGCAGTGGCCTGTTGGGAGGTAACCGCAAGAGATAACTTAGATTCCTTTCCAGTGAGGAATGGCTCTCATGGAAATGTGGGTTTGCATTTCATTCGGGTACGTGGTTCCATTATATTCCAGCTACCCAAGTCGGTGGTCTTACTCAGTCAGTGATCTTTGGATCTGTATGAACGCAACCTGAAATTTTTGTTACCATCTTGTTCGCAGTATTAAGTTGGTCTTTCCTATCTTCGAAGAATGATGAGTGCTAATGCTGTGACGATGCTCATTGCATGGCTTTAGTCAAAACTATACAGTAAGGGACAAATTTGGGCTCTTTGGCGTGTTATAGGCATATTCATAATTTGAATGATTTGGAAGGATCATAAGCAATACATTTTTGAAGGATAATCAAGAGAAAAAGAGAGTGCTCCAAGATGAATCTCACGACGCATCAAACAGACAACTCAATCCTAACGCTAGCTGGTCTTTCCAGCACAAGTGAAATTCGTGTCTAACATGCTTGGTGCCTTATACAAAAGACAACCAGAACGAATCCTCAGAGAAGAATTCCATAACTCACCAGAACTATGAATCAAACTAAACACCAATGGCTACAAGCCAAGCGATGTATGGTGGCATTTTGAGAAGCACATTAGGAGATTTCCTCAAGGGCTTTGCAGGCCCAATCATCGGCATCAACAATGGAGTTGGCTCCCAGCAATCTTAGCAGGAGAGGAAAGGGCTTTGGCACTTGGTACTCAACACCTAATAGATCAAAGCAGATTCCCTACTTGTCATATAGTAGTGCCTTGGTTTGCAAACCATTGAATGGAAGTTCAGTAGGAAAGTCAGCCGTTCACTTCAGATTTACTGAACTCACCATGTCATTCTATGTTACAATGACCTGCTATATAACAAGGAATTTAAAATGGGAATGAGTTTGTTCTTTTTTTTTTTTTTTTTTTTTTTTCTGGGTGACCTCAAGGTCATACTGAGACCCTTTGGTCATGTAGAATAAAGTAAATTTCTTTTAGTAATACTGCAAGGTGGACGCAATAAAACTTTGGCTTCTGTAGTCATAAATAAAAGGAAAATGAAAAAAAGGAAATAAAACATAAAAGTGGTTTCTTGCCCATCCAGGCCTATTTCCTAATTTAACTTTCAGCACCATGGTTGTAATTTGTTGGAATTCTCTTTTGGAGGGTTAGGGTACCTGCTCACTTATTTTTGGTATGGTCTAGGCCATCTAAGTCATCATAAACATAAAGCCTCTTGTGCCCAGGTATGTGAGGTTTACTCTCCCTCTGTCTCCTATTCTCAGGCTCATTTTGCTCATAGATTTATCTGTTGCTCCCCGCTGTCGAAGCCTAATCATTCTTCAGAACTCCTTCTTCCTATAGGGTGCCGTTTTCTTTTTGGGCGAGGACCCACTGTCAGATTTTTCTTTTTTCAGGCGTAGGAATTTATGCTCGTTCCTTTGTTAGCTCAGTTCACTGTCTCTTTTACCCATATACTTTGACAACCTAACCATTCTGGTGATCTGGTCTAACCACATCAGGAGTAAGGACCAGCACATGGTGTACTGTCATGTGCAAGAGTACATAAGCACAAGGTACAAATTAAGCCAATATCTCATAATTGCCTTGTTGTGATTCCTGATATGATGGAAGTATGTCCAAGATAATGGCACTACACGCCATTGAAGTGAGTGAGTTCAAAACAAAATCAAAGCACTAATGAAAGAAGTAATAGAGAGGCCAAGCCAAAGGGCTCATAGGTGGCCCGCCATAAGCCTGATGGCATTGTCAAAGAATACCAATGTTTACCGAAAGTGGGAGAATGGTCAAGTTTTGTGCATTCACATGATCAGTTGGTGCCTTCATATGTTCCAGGTGCATATATGAGCATCTATATTATGTATGATGTTCTGCATCTATACCTGTATTACAAAAGCTACATGAACATGTAGGCACACAAAGAGAAGCCATGAAGATACACTTACGCAAACAAATTAACTCACACTTTTACCCCCATAAAATGTTCCCCCACAAATATCAGAGTATCAATTTCTCCTTCAGCTGTATACTGAAATCCACAAGTTGCATTTTAATCGACATCATACATGATATAAGCTCAAAGAAATCTTAATTGCATGTGCATATTCATATATCAAGCACCAAAAGGAGACAATCCAAATCGCCTCCTTATCTGTTTTTCAATAACCAAAACCCAACTGCCAGCCTAGAAAGTATAATTAAGGAGGCAAGGATCTAAACCGCTCATAATCCATAAATTGTATTTGCAGTACTCTTAATTCCTAAAATGCAATACTTACCCCCTTTATCCCTTTTCTTTTTCCAGATTATGATACATGTGTAAGTACATATGCAGAGTATGTGGAAAGCAAACTGAATCTTTTTCTTAATTTATATGATATGAAAAGAACAACAAAATGTGGCACGACAAGAAATAGAATAACATCCAAGGTAAAACCCTACCCTATAGAATTCAAGAGAAGAACATGACTGGTAAAACAAGACTGGTATATCATAACATTTATTCATCGGACGATTCAAAACACAAGAAACAATAAAAAGGGTGGTACGTAAAAAAAAAGCAAACAAAAAATAAACAAATTCAAGAAAATGAAAACCCTAGCGGCTTACCAGAAGGGACCATCAGAAATCAGAGCATCGGCCATTACGCTCCCAGTCCCCAAACCTGGTGGGTTCGGGTCCCCTTGGCCCTCCAATTTCACCTGTTTCTTTATTTACATGGTCTTCCTCTTCTTCGTCTGTTTCTCTTCTCTCTCCTTCGCCCTGCTTGGGCATCTCATCTTTGTTTCTGTGGGCAATTTGGTGTTGTTCATCTGCTACAGATGATGGTGATGAGATCCATCTTGAAATGGAAGAGATGGAAGGAAGATGCGGTTTGAGTTCATGCATAGATGAGGAGATCATGCAGCAAATAGCCATTGCTCTCCCCATTTCTCTCGCGTGCGCACCCTCCTTTTACTGGATCATCAACTACGGATTTGGATCGAGAGATGGCCGCCTTATGGAAGATAGTGACGGGAGGCAGCGGTGGCGATTGCACTCCCACTCGGAACTAGGATTACAAAATCGCCTGTCCAAATCGAGTAGAACTGGGATAAGTGGAAGAAAGTTCCTCTGCGCCCCGTTTGGGACCTTGTTAAGGTGATCAAATTAAAGCCGACCTTAAGTGTCGAGAAATGTGGTTTCAAATACTGATTATCTTTGTGATAGGTTTAAAATATATTTGTATTTTTAATTATAAAATTTAAAGTTAAAAACATAATGTAGGTTGAGTAGATCTATGAAAACTTAAAAATCTTGAAAATTGACGGTCCAAAAATGTGTTACAAGATGCATTATTTTCTAAACTTGAAACCTATTTTTTTTCTCATTTCCATGTATCTTGGTGTCGAGATGATCAATTTGAGTACATTTGGGTATCCAAACAACCTCTTTTAGTGAAATTTTTTAGGTAGGCTCTAATTTGATTGTTTAGAGCTTCGGCTTTATATAAACTTTTCCCTTTAATTAAAACATGGTTTTGTTAATTCTAGTATATATAAAAAGATTGTCTACAAAGAGACCATTTACTTTTTTTACAAGGAGGTCACAATTATTCCCACTCATTAGATGTCAAATTGGATGGCTTGTGGTAAGTCTTGCGAATTTTTTTTTAGAATTTTGTGTCTAATCAATGTCACTCTTACAACCACTCATTTTGAAATCTAAGAGACAAGAAAGATTGTGACCTTCTTGTACAAAAGGTAAATGGTCTCTTTGTAAACAATCCTATATATAAAAACTGGTTTTGAGCACCTGGGATATGAGGCCATCTATGATCAATTCAATATAGATTTCTCTACCATTCTCAACTACAACATTCCATACAAGATGATTTTGACTCTGAATCTATGAGAAGTGGTACACCGGCCCTATAATCTACAAAGCGAAGCTACAACCTCCGAGTCCCAAGAGATGATTTCGAGAGCGACCAACCTATGACGTCCCAAACAACGGGCTAAGCTAACGATCGGGTCTCAGGCGTGACCACCAGACATGATAGACCCCTCTCCAAAGAGGCCATGACTTCATGGATTGAAGGGTCCAGATTCTCTTCTCCACCCAACTTTTTTACTACAAGGGTCTACTTCTTTGCTACTATGTAGCTCAACATTCGAGTGAGACACAAGCGACAGAGGGGCAACTGTAGACATCCCAATCTCGACTGGAAAGGTTATGGATAAGTCAAAATGTCCCAGGTAGACTAACCGGGTATTTTAAACCATTCACCCCACTAGTACCCCTTCTCCGTAAACCTAGCCTCCATCAAACCCTTATTTCTCTAATGGGACCAAAGGCGTCAAGAGGCTAAACAAGGCTAGGTAGACCCAGAACGACCTAACTATGAAGCAGTAAACAGGAAATGCTCTGATGTTACCTCAACAGGTACCAAAGCCCTACCAATACTCCAACAGCATGGTACCAAAAGCATCCAAGTCACAGCATAGGTGACCTAGGACACCAAAGGCTTGGCGCCATTCCCATTGGCACCTGCGCCATTCCCATTGGCGCGAAGTCCTAGACCCCTAGTTCCAAGCGACAACAGGATCCACTGTCAAGCTAGAACATGATCAAGATGCCTGACGGCAAAGCCAATGCTACCAGTGCCATTTTCAATAGTGCCAAGTCCCAAGGCCCTCACCAAATGGGACATAGCCTGGCTGAAGTGCTTGATGTGACAGACTGACATGTCAGTCTGTACCAGCCATCGTGGTAGGCCCGTACTGACATGTCAACTGTCATTACAGAGCAAGGTTGTCGATTTCTTAATAGACAATGATCATATGCAAGTACAATCAAGACAGCTGAACAGCTGGTACCCGACGACATTTGGAATGTCGTCAACACTAGTCGGAGCTGCTTCAAACTGCAATTGATCAAATCAGAGCTATCAGAGAATGACATGTGTCCTGAACAGTGTTGGGCGGCAGTCGACATGCCATTGACGCCATTGCCAATATGTCAGAATCTGACAGGTCGTACAAAACTCGCATTAATGAGCAATTAATATTTACTAACTGTCATTATTACAGCATTAATGACATGGTGTTATTCCAACCAGTGCTAGCGCCAATCCAAATAGCGTCAACGCCAATCCAAATAGCGTCAAAGCTATGAAGACTCAAAAAATTGCACAAACTGGATACAAACTGTCATGGGTTCATTTTCACCTATAAAAAGCCCCCTTCATCTCAAGAAAAAGGTCCGAGACCTTGATAATTTTTGTGCCTAAATTATGCCTAAAAATCTCTTGATCTTGGGCCTAAGCTTGAGCTTGAGAGAAAACCCCCTTTGAGCAACTCCCATCCTATCAAACCCTTCAATTCAAAGCTACAAACACAAGCCCCTTCAAGCTACACTTCAAACCGAAGGCGATCCGAATAATCATAACTTCCAGGCCCCTTTCTTCCTATTTCTACTTGTCTTGTTAAGAATCAAGAGAGTTCGGGTTGATTGTGCAAATTTACTATCTGAATCGGCGCCGACTTCAAGCACCGGCCTTGGGGCCCCGGCTTATATGTCGTTTTCCCCTCCTTTCTGCCTTTTATTTGTTTTCCTAAGTATTATTTTCATTTATCACTTATATTTATGATTTCTTTCATTCTCTTCTTCATTTCTTGATAAAGTTCTCTTTTTTTTTTTTTTTATAAACTTTGCATTTATCTTCGTTTAGTTAGATTTGCACATTTTTCTTCATTTTCTCTTATTTTTACCTCCTTTTAATGCTCTCTTATTTAAGGTAGTACTTATGGCGCTAGGTTAGTTATATTTACTATCATCCTTCCTTTTGTTGGTTTGTATTTATTTCTTTCGTTGCAATATTTATTACCTTTCCTTATTCTTATGTTTAGTGGCATAAATTTCCTTATCTCAACGAACTTCTTTTATTCTTTATTCTCCTAATTAAGTAATCTCTATTCTTTTCTTGAGGGCATTTATTTCTAGTTATGATCTTGGTGTTTATTTATCTTCCTTTCTTTACTATTAGTAATGATGGAGTAGATCTCTCTCTCACTCTCTTTTTCATTTAGTAATGAGCCTTTTTTCCTTTTATAGCATGCATTCTTCTTAGTTTGTTATATTGATGTATTTTCTTGTTTTCTCTCTTTTGTTAGTACAGATTCTCTATCCTCGCTTTTATCTTTCATCTTTTCTATTTGTTAATACTATTTTCATGCCTTGCTTCATCTATTTCTTTGATCGATTGTATTTGCTGCTCTTCCCCCTTCTTATTAGTATAATGATATAGATTCCTCCCATCTCTTATGCATTTTAATCTAATGCTAGTCAATTCTTCTCTATTATGCTTTTCACCCTAGTTAGGGACATTTTACTTAATTTTCTTTTCTTTCCCATTATCTTATGACTTGAATATCATCTTCCTCATCTCCCTCACTCTCATCCTCTTTTATATTTATTTATTTATTTGTTTTATGTTTTTCCCTTATATTTTGTTCAATAGCTTGATTCGTCTTCTTCTCTTTTTATTATTTTTTTGTTTTTCTTATTTATGAATCATTCATAACTTCTCTCTATCTCTTTCACCTTAACCCTCTTTCTCATGCTCTTTCCTTTCATTTCTTTCATTTCTTTATTCTTGTTACTTTTATTGCATATTATTTATTCGTATTAGCCATCTTTCACGCTCCCCTCTTCTATTTTACTTCTTCTTATGTTGTATTTTATCTTTATTTGTATTTCATACTCACTTCTCTCTATCTCGCCGATGAGGATCTCATATTTTCCTTCTTTGTAACCATGTACGTATTTCCACACTCTTATCTCTCTCTTTCATTATATGTCATGCATGCTTGAATTAGTTTCACGTTCTTATATCTATGCTTTTAAGTTCTTATTTTTCTTATATTTAGTAGTTAGATTATTTACTCCTGTTTACTTGCATCTTCCTAGTGTAGTTGTTTATTTGTGGTTTTCTTCTTTCGTTATCTTTTTAGATCTATTTTCTTAAAATCATCATCTTATCTCAAAACCCCTTTCAAAACCTTCTTGGCTGACTTTCAAGCAATGATTTTAAAAACGGATCGGTGGCCCAGATCAGGCACCCCAAAAACCCATCCGGATCGGTGAATCGGCGATCCGAATCGGGAATCGGCCGAATCTGTTGGATTAAGCTTTAAAAAAATCTAAAAAAATTAATAAAATTCATTATAAATGTTGGTTTTTAGGAATCCAATAAGAAATCAGGGTACTACATTATTAATTTTCATTTTTTTCATCAATATGTGAATATTGAGATGTTTTTTCTCTGTATGAACTTATTTTGACTATTAAATTTACATCACACAAAAGAAAAATCATAGAATTATCATGGATGAAATATAGAATCATAGATGGACTATAATAAAGAATGGTTTTAATCGATAAAAAATGGCCACCAAAATCTCGCATTGGTAGAGAACATTATATACTGAAATTGAACTTGTTGGTTTACATTTTATAATTATTTTATTATACAAATAATAACAAATCCAACCTCTTATTTTTCTATAATAAATACTTGTTGTATTACCTTTGATCTTTTGTTCTTTGACAAAAACCTTTTATTTCTTAGGACAATAACTTTTTATTTATTTTTTACAAGAAATGCTTGTCGTATTACTTCTTTCTTTCTTTTTTATAACAAGAACCTTTTTTTTTTTTTACAAGGAATACTTGTTGTATAACCTTTTCTTTTTTTTTTTTACAAGAACTTTATATTTTTTTACAATAAACTTTTATTTTTTGACAAGAAAAAGAACTTTTGTTGTATTACCTTTTTTTTTGTTTTACAAGAACCTTATAAATTTTTTACAATAAGCTTGTATTTTTTGACAAGAAATTTTTTTTTTTGTTGTATTACCTTTTTTTTTTTTTTGACAAGAACTTTATATTTTTTTTAACAAAAAATATTTTTTTTATAAAAAACTTTTATTCTTTTTGTAAAAAAAAATTATTTTATAAAAAGGAAAAATTTAATTTGTTTGTGAAGGAAGAATGATGGCACCTGGGCAGGAATTGATCCCACGACGTCTAGCACACTAAAACAACGCTCTAACCACCATGTCAAATATTAAGTTGTGATACAAAGAGGTCACT